GTATACTCGTCCTCCAGTTAGCTGACAGATATAACGCCTGCGCCATATGTGACGCAAGTTGGTAAAAGCCAATCGAGCCTTGTGTATCCGTGCTGAGATTTCGTTACATACCAAGCCGTCAGCACTGATGAGACTCTCGAGATAATCGAAGCGGTCAACAGCCTAGAGTATTTTACTCCCTATCGCTAATTCAGGTGCCAACGCAAGCCGATCTTGAAGTAACATTTTGCATTTCGACGGGGAGAATCGCATCCCGAACATGCTTGCATTGTAGCTTAAAATGTTCAGAAGACTCTACATAATGTTATCTCTGAAAGCATGTAAATGACAAAGTCAAACAATAATGAAGACGTAATTGATCTTCTCACTTTTCTATCAAAATTTATAAAAGGGACTAATTGTTTTAAAAAGAATGAAGAAAGTGGAGAGCCCTGACGGACACCAATGACAGTTCGCCTTAAGCTCTATCACGACCAGTAATCTTTGAGTAGAGTTTGCATAAGGTTAATGTAATTCCTTGGTACACCGTTCAATGACAGACACTGTAAAAGAACTACACGATCGACAGTGTCAAATGTCTCTTTAAGGTCAAGGAATACAACTATAGTTGGACTTCAAAATGTGTGTCTATGTTCCAGGACCTGACGAAGAGTGAATATGAAGTCTTTACAGCTACGTCCAAGTCGGAAACCAACCTAGTTTTTTCTAGTTAACTCTTCAAGATCTCTAGTTAGGCGTTGAAGTATTATCTAGGCAACCGAAGTGTGGCTAAAGACCAGTTGGATTGATCCCTAAAGTGTTCTGCCCATCGATCCAATCTCCTAGGTTGAGAATGAATCATAATTCCATTCTTTTCTGAGATAGTTTCCCTAACAAATGGATTCCTAGTACTAGTTTTATTGATAAGGCGGAACAGTTGTCCACCGATACCTATTGCCGCTGCCTTTTAAATCTCATTTGATTTCGCTACCAACCACTGTTCGTGATCATTGCGTAGGCTTCTTATCAGCCTGCGCTAAAGCTGACTTTGCTCTTTGTTATGTTCAGAGGAGTTTCCAAGCATCTATCAGTTCGGCAGATGCTACTGAGATCCACTGTTTCTACCTAACTTCATGGTTTACCTTACTAGCAGGTATCACTGCTGTTTCCGCAGCCTTTTTGATATCATTCCAACCTACCTCCGGATGGGAATCGCTTACATGGTTGCCTAACTCTCTTTCTAGTTGTTCCTGAAATATATTCTTAGCTTTATTATCATTGGGTGGAACCCTAAGAGGTTTCCTTGAGGTGTCTTCCCTACGTCCAGTAAGCCTCAAACAAACACGCGCTCGCACTAGAGCATGGTCTGAATCTAAAAAAGTGCTCCAAAATGAACGGCAGTCTTCAATAGAGACACTCCACCGATGGCTGATAACAATGTGGTCTATTTTGGCCGACCGTCGGGTCGTCGTTGTGGGTCACTAGGTCAAGAGATGTTTTTCTTTATGCTTAAAGTTAGTGTTCGCTAGATATAGGCCGTTATCTGAGCACAGCTTCAGAAGACGGTCACCATCATCTGTTCTTTGAGTCGCGACACCATGAGATCCACCAAGGTATCTTTCATTTTCACTTAGTCTACTTATTTGAGCATTGAAGTCACCAGCCATTACTACTACATCAGGGCGCCTAATTCTTTGGAGGAGGTCCGAAAGCTTTCTCTATTACTCATCTTTTACATCGTCTGGACTGCAGTCGGTGGGAGCGTAGGCAAATATGACGAAGAGGCAACGGCGAGTATCCCTATCTTGCCGAGTCCTTGCTGTTTTGTTTAGTCGAACAGCGCACAAGCGACTATCTACTGGGATCCAGTCTAAGAGACCGATAAGGACTTTTTAAAAAAACAGTGGAGCTAACAATTTAATAACTTCTCATAAAAAGGCCATGATTGACCGGCCTCAAGCAGTTGTCCCTTGGACTATGAGGTCATGCGCGCAGGTCTCTAATACCAACGCTAATCTGCCTTCCCTTTCAGGTTCCTCAAGAAACACCCTTCCACGGTGTGGGAAGCTGAGAAGTGACATCCGCCCTCATACCCATAACAGCACACACGACCAAACTGGTCACAATCAAATACTTCATACTCCTCTATCATATCTCTTATCTCCACGACTAACCGTTCTCATCCTCCTTTGTCACCCTGCACCGCTAATGCAAACGATTCCAGTACACGAAACGTTATTTCTGGTCTCCTGAAACCCTGTTCTGAACTACGTAACAGCATCGCTGCAGATACTGGTTGTTCGCAGGAAACACCTAACTACAGTCTGCAGTGCGGGTGCGTCATCAGACCTTGAGTTGCTGCTTTTAGTCTCATCGTTCTCCAATCGACCTGCCTGGCATGTTAGAACCTGCGGGAACATATTTTCCAGCCAGGCATTTTATAGAACCTTTTGAGAGCGAATATGGTTGCAAAGGCTTCCTTTCGATTCGACTGTAATTCCACTCAACATCTTCCCTGGTTCTGGTAGTTCCAATGAGCTGAGGTAAGTGATCTGGCAGTGTGAGAAATTATCTTCTTCGGTTTATCCGGAAACACGTGAGATACCACTGTTCCGACTGCATAACTAAGATCATCAAACGCAACAGTAATCTCCAAACTGAGATCCAAGTGCTGAGAATTGATTCGAATTTTTCAAACGATGCTTGACATTCCGTGACCATTGTCAAGGTTTGTAATTTGTTAATAATTCATTTAGGGGACCTCTAACTTGGTGCATTTTGGGGGAAATGCGCTGCAGTGACTAATAAATCTCAAGACAGACTTTAATGAAGGAACATCCGTTGATGCTGACACATTCTGAATCGTTCTTATATCGGCTGGGTCTGCTCGACGGCCATTTTTATCTGAAATGAAGCCAAGGTATTTAGTCGAATGTATAAAACTACACTTTTATTCCCGTAGTTGGAAGCTACACTCCATCACTTGATTATAACTTGACGTGGCCAACCAAATTTCATGTTCAGTTTGACCTATAACAATGACATCATCTAGATAAGCTGCTACAACGTGTATTCCTAATAAAATCGTATCGATACTTTGCTATAAGATAGCAGGTACAACCTTGATACCAAACGGAAGGCGGGTACACTGGTGCTGATAGTTAGAAGTTCTCTGGAATTATCATCTACTTCCACTCGGAAAAGTCTGTTTTCGCGAAAGATGTTCCACCATTCGGCTTGAAAAATGGATCCTAAGGAACTAGTAAAGGGTGCTAATATACATCCATTCCAGAGATTAAACTGGTTGAGAAGTTGTCACGTATACGTGTATTTCCATTGGCCTTCTTAATTACTGGTCGGATTACACCAGCTTATTGCGAATAAACAAGTTCCTCGTCGACTAGTTCTGATGAAACTAACGGTACAGAATGTTTAGGATGAAAAATAGGTTTTAAATCTAGTCTCAGTGATAAAGGAGTTCTCATTATGGTGCAGCGATCAAGGTACATCCATTATTTGGAGCTTTTTTTAACAGATCTAGACCAAGATCATAGTTTGGTTGGTCTCTCAGATAGCATATTCCTCTGGATTTGATTTTACTGTATGTAAATTCTCACTGTGACTCGCCAACAAGTTGAAGTACATCTCTAGATACATTTATGCTGCCTTTTTAGATAGCTTCATTGGCAGTCACTCATATTACAGTGTATATACAGTGAAATAATGGGTAAAATACTTCTAGTGACTTAAAATATGCTTTAAAAATACTACTATTAATTAGGACAGCATTGATAACCTTTTTGCTAACATTACTATTTAGTCTGAGATTCATTTTAAATACACAATCCGGAACTAGGAGTCATAAATATCCCCAAAAAATGTCTCCATCATTTTCCAATCAACTTAGCATACTCACGTTAAGTTACAGATAAACAATATGGATTATTTACTAAAGATAAACGTTATTCACCTGCTTCTGTCTGAACGAAAAAGCCTAGCGAATATTAAAACAGAGTCGATATTTTGTAAAACTTGTATATAAAAGCCACATTATTAAAAGTTTCCTAATAAATTTTTCCCCACTCAAACTTTACATCCAGTTAACCTTCTTACAACGAGATGTTTCAATAAAGATTAGTGAACTTCTTGGGACTAATTATTTCTGTTTTGAGAAATATACCAAGTTGAGGGGTCATATTTTATCGTATCCTATAATATCAGCTAAAGAAAAAGCCGTCTCAGTTGTTAGCTTTCATATACAACGCTTTGAGCGAATTACTGAGACTACATGATAGTTGATATACCACATAGATGAACCCGTTCTCATAGTGAATTTTAGAGCTCTAACAGGCGGAATCAAATTGATAGGATATTTCAACTATATATCCCACAGAAGACATTGAAAGATTCTATCGCTTTGCGATAGCGCAACACAAACTCACTCTATACCCAACTATACTTTACTTTCAGACCCCAGTGAGTGTAAATACTAGAAACTGAATTTGATTATCAATAGGCATGGGGTTATTTAGAATTTCCATGAAGACCAGCCATTAAGACTGAACTTCAGGAAACCAAGTGCACTTGTTTTCTACCAGTCTATTTTCACGTTATCACTGACTCTTTTGTATTTGTTCCTATTTGATCGATAAGTTGGTTTCATTTATACACCTGAAAAACCATGAAGCGAACTATAAAGACATTTCGTGACCATCAATTCACTGTAACTAACTAGTAAATATCTGCTAAAAAAAACCTTACCTTGTTGTGCTAAATACTTTTAAGAAATGTGTCTAATTCCGACTAAACTATTCAGGCCAGTATTTATGCAACCAAGTACACAAATACAAGCAGCTTATCATTTTGAGCAGAATAAAATCTAAGCAGAAAGTTGCTTAGTTAATAACTTTACAACAAATATAATTTTGGGTAACATTATGAGAAATACTTAAGATTAATGAACATTTGTCCCGTTGAAATTTGCATAAATTGAGAAAAACGATAAGTGTAAAATGGATTACTTTGGTACTGGGCATAAATCGGCGATGGTAAATACCCGGAAACACAGATTCAGAAGGTTGAGCACTCCCTTGCTTTTGAAACATAAACTCCGACAGTCGTGTCATATGTAAAGACGGTTCCACCAGATAATGCTGGCGTACGCAACCAACTGGCCAGACTGTATTTGTCGCCCTAAATGTTTAGTGTATGACAAAGAGAAATGTATTAATTGCTGATATGCTAATTTATTTAATTGTTGGTATCTAAAAATAGCTGTTTTACGACATCAGTCAGTCAGTAAACACCAACGTAAGCAACCTGCTGCAAATACACACTAACTCAAGTACAATAACTGCATTTTAAATTCCACGTATAATTACTCAACTTATATCTCACTTCTTTCATTCAGTGAACCAAGGAAAATTATAGTTTCACTGATATTTTGTGTTCTCAATGTGTATAGATTATAAAAAGATGATTAGATATAGATGAAACGCAATAGCGTTACAGTGTGGTGCAGTGGTGCGAGCTGCTTATAAGTAGTATATGACGTGAGCGTCAACGTAATGTCTGGCAGCCGAAGATGGGGGAAGATCAAGAAAGGAAGAGTTAGAAAACAATGGAATTTGTATGAAACGCATGAATAATGACAATGGATTGATGTTTTGCAACAGGAACAGTCCAGTTCGATATGATGAACTGTTATTTTGCAAAATAACTCCGCCAGTAGAACCTTAGGGGCTACTGCCGGTCCCAAGCCCGGATAAAGGAGGAGGGTTGGACATGGGGTTGGCGACCCCATTCCGTTGAAATCTCACTTGCCAAAAAAACGCTAACCAGAAAACGAACAGCGAAATAGGTGGGTGGAGCACTTTCAGGAACTCCTGAGTCGACCAGCTCCACTGAACCAACCCAACATCGAAGCAGCATCTACGGACCTCTCAATTAATATTGGTGCACCTACAGTTTAAGAGATCAGCATGGCCATCAGACAAATCGAGAGCGGAAAACCGGCAGGACCAGACAACATTCCAGAAGAGGCAGTCAAAGCAAATGTGGAAGCAACTGCGAAAATATTTCACATTCTCTTCAAGAAGATTTGGAATGAAGAACAAGTACCATAGGATTCGAAAGAAGGATACCTCATCAAAATACCAAAGAAAGGCGATCTCAGAAAGTGTGAGAACTAAAGAGGCATCACTCTTCTCTCAATACCAGGAAACGTCTTCAACACGGTATTGTTAAAAGGAATGATGGACTTCGCAGACGTCCGACTTCGAGATCAACAGGCCGGACTTCGTAAGGATCGATCATGTACTGACCAAATCGCTACATTACGGATCATTGTGGAACAATCAATAGAATTCAACTCACCACTCTACATCAACTTCATCAACTACGAGAAAGCATTCGATAGCGTGGACAGGAAAACACTGTGGAGGCTTCTTCGACACTACGGTGTGCCTGAGAAAATAGTCAACATCATACGGAATTCTTATGATGGATTCAACTGCAAAATCGTGCACGGAGGTCAGCTGACAGACTATTTTGAGGTGATGACCGGTGTGAGGCAAGGTTGCTTACTCTCACCCTTACTCTTTCTCCTGGTGATCGACTGGATTATGAAAACGTCAACATCTGGAGGGAAGCACGGTATCAACTGGACAGTTAGCACGCAGCTGGACGATCTGGACTTCGCAGATGACTTGGCTCTTCTATCGCACACTCAACAACAAATGCAAGAGAAGATGACCAGTGTAGCAGCAGCCTCTGAAACAGTAGGTCTCAACATACATAAAGGAAAAAGCGAAATTCTCCGATGCAACACAACATGCACCAACCGAATCACGCTTGATGGAGATACCTTGGAGGACGTTAACACCTTCACATATCTTGGCAGCATCATCGGCGAGAAAGGTGGATCGGACGCAGATGTGAGGGCGCGGATTGGCAAAGCAAGGGCTGCATTTCTACAGTTGAAAAATATCTGGAACTCCAAACAACTTTCAACCAAAACCAAAATCAGGATTTTCAATACAAATGTGAAGACAGTTCTACTGTATGGAGCGGAAACATGGAGAACTACCAAAGCCATCATTCAGAAGATACAAGTGTTTATTAACAGTTGTCTACGCAAAATACTTCGTATTCGTTGGCCAGACACCATCAGCAACAACGAACTGTGGGAGAGAACAAGTCAGATTCCAGTGGAGGAGGAAATCAGGAAGAAGCGGTGGAAGTGGATAGGACATACACTACGAAAAGCACCCAACTGCGTCACGAGACAAGCCCTCACATGGAACCCTCAAGGCAAAAGGAAAAGAGGAAGGCCAAGGAACACATTACGCCGAGAAATAGAGAAAGATATGAGAGGAATGAACAAACATTGGACAGAACTGGCGAGGGAAGCCCAGGACAGAGTTGGTTGGAGAAAACTGGTGAGCGGCCTATGCTCCATTGGGGGTAACAGGCGTAAGTAAGTAAGTAAGTAAGTTATTTTGCAAATGAACGATTTACGATATGGTTTTCCAATTTTACTGAGTAACTCTGTAATCTTCGTTAAATACAATTCGGTTGCCCCACCTGTGTTCTCACTCACTACATTTGGTGTCGCTGCCTACGCAAAGGATGAAGATTCCGTGGCCGAAGGAGTTTGAGGACGGAGATGTGCGGAGCTTCCTGAAGGAGTTTGAGGCTGTCGCGGAGCTGGTGGGGGTGAAGGAACCGAAGGCGAAGTTGGTGGTGCTGGGGACGCTGCTGAGAGGAAGGGCGAAGGCCGTATATGACATCTTGGACGGTGCTGGCGGGAAGACGACGTGGGAGACGGTCACTGAGCGGCTGATGGCCGAGTTCGACAGCCCGGTGGACAGGGAGGAGGCGTTGCGGAAGTTCCGGTTGGCGAGGCTGTCGAATGATGGTGACCCGCTGGTGCTTGCTGTGGAGCTCACAAGGTTGCTGCGCCGTGCGTTGCCGAATATCGATGAGGAGTCGGAGGCACAATTGTTGGCGTCGCAATTTATTGAGAGTGTGCCTGCCGCTGTGTCCCAGCAGCTGAGATTAGTAAATGCAGCACAACCTATGGACATCGGTGAACTGGCGAAGGTGACTCGTCAGCTGATGACACGAACAGTAGCTCCGGTCGGGTGCGAAAAGCAGGAGACAAATACTTTCGACAAGAGGATTGAGGAGTTAGAGCGTGAGATAGCAGCATTACGAGTAAATCATAAAAGGAACGATAAATGTTACGCTTGTGGAGAGGCAGGACATTGGAAGACAAACTGTCCAAGAAGACGACGACGACGATATTTTAAACGTTAAAACGTGTTTTCTTTCCACCCTAGGAATTTGGAGGTTCTTGCACTAGTAGATAGAGGGGCAATTTATGCCACAGTGTACATAAATGAACAGGAGTTAGTGTGTTTGATCGATACAGGGGCAGCTATATCGTTAATAAGCAAAGAGCAATCTAAGACAATTAAACCATGTACATTAGCTGTCCACACCATAGGAGGGCATATGCTAGAGGTGTTGGGAGTATCTAACAGTATTGTAAAAATGAGTGGAGCTGAGATAAATTTTCCGTTCGTGGTAACCACAAGCTTATCGAGACCGATATTAGGAGCAGCTTTCCTAAGAGAGGTAAAAGCGATAATTGACTTGAGAAGCGGTAAAATGGTCACAAAGTACGGTTCATTGCCAATACACGAAAGTAGCGAAGTGGCTGAAATAAGGATGACAACGGACGTCTCGACCAAGAAACCAAGCATTAACGAGTTATGCGCAAAGTATGCGAAACTGTTCATTGGAGATGGGGAGCCGTATGGATTTTGTGACAAAATAAAGCATGAAATTCCTATAAAGAACGACCGAGTAAATATATTTACAACACGTCGCGTCCCGGTGCATTTAGAGGCCGAGGTAAATCGACAGGTCCAGGAAATGTTGAAGGAAGGTATAATTGAGGAAGCAGACAGCCCGTATAGCTCACCGGTACTCTTGGTAAAGAAACACAATGGAAAGTATAGATTTTGCGTCGACTTTAGAGAACTGAATAATATAACAGACCTGAAACCGTGCGCAATGCCAACAGTAGTAGAAACATTAAATCGACTACAGAATGCCACGGTGTTTACAGTGCTGGATTTACGGTCAGGTTATTGGCAACTACCTATAAAAGATAGTGATCGCAACAAGACAGCATTTACCATACGGGATAAACAGTATCAATTTAAACGAATGCCGTTCAGGTTGGCTGGTGCACCGTTCACGTTCAAAAGATTGATGACGCTGCTGCTTAAGAATCTAGATAATGTTGAGGTATATGGCGACGATGTGGTTGTATACAGCCTGACGGAAACAGATCACGTCAAGCATGTGGAAGCGGCCTTAAAGCAAATTGACGAATTTGGGCTTCGAATTAATAAGGAAAAGTCGCAGATAGCGAAAAACAGCGTCAAATTGTTGGGTCGTAAAGTGGGTAATGGAGAAATAAAGCCATTACCAGAGAAAATTCTTACCATAAAAAATATTGGAGTACCTAATTCGAAAAGGAAGTTGAGACAGTTCCTAAGAAGAGCGGCGTTCTATAGTCGGTTTGTCAAGAATTTCAACGAAATAGCAGAGCCCTTATATAAGTTGCTGAGCAACACCAAATTTACATGAACTGAGACTGCCGAACAAACGTTCAACCGAATCAAAAACATGCTAGACGATCTTCAGATGACGCTGCGACTGCCTGAACCCGGAAAACTGTTTACAGTGGCCACAGATGCAAGTGATCATGGTATAGGTACGGTATTGAGTCAGGCTGATAGAGTGGTGGAATACGCAAGTCGCGTTCTCACACCCGCCGAGCAGAAGTATTCAACGATCGAAAAGGAGTGCCTAGCAATCGTGTGGGCAGTAGAAAAATGGAGACCGTGCCTTTTAGGTAGACGATTTCACATTGAGACTGACCATAAACCCCTGCAGTGGTTGAGAACAGCAAGAGACCCCCGAGGGAAGTTGGCGCGATGGATGATACGTCTGCAAGAATACGACTTCAGTATCGGCCATGTTCCAGGAAAAGAAAACGTAATGGCGGATTACTTGTCAAGATCAGACATGGAAGATGACCTTCCAGTGACAGCATACGCGGTGAATAGTTTAGATGGAGACCCATTAGAACTCATCCGGCAACAGAAAGCTGCTCCGAACCTTCGAGAGGTAATCTGAGTGATAAAAGAAGGAGAAGATATAGACAAACGAACGAGGGACAAGGAGGTAATAATGTTACTTAGGCAAAAGGAACGACAAAAAATGAACGCATATGGAGTCCTGACCTGGCAGGACGATGACAAAAATTAGTTGACTGTAATCCTGAAAGACTGGCGGCGTAAGATGATACACGAGTGTCACCAGGTAGCACATACAGGCATCACAAGAACGACGGATTTATTACGACAAAGTGCATACTGGCCAGGCATGAGAGACGATGTGGCTCAATACATGTTAACTTGCCAGCAGTGTCAACTAATGAAAAGCGATAGATACACACAACCGCCATTACAGTCGATCCCAGTAACCGCAGTCGGTGATCTATGGTCGGTGGATATAATGCGACCGTTTCCACAGACGGCGACCGGTAACCGGTACCTGCTAGTGATGACGGAGCATGCTACACGCTGGATAGATGCCGTACCCATTGCAGACCAGCGGGCAAGAACAGTGACCGAAGTGGTGATCCGGCACATTGTAGCGTGCCACGGAATACCGAGAATGATATTAACGGACCAGGGTCCCTGTTTTGAAAGTGACGAGTTTGAAGACCGTCTAAAACAGTTTGGCATCAAGAGGATACGAACTACACCGTATCATCCTCAGACAAACGGGCTTACAGAGAGAAACAACCGGACGTTAAATGAAATGGTAAGCATATAAAGGAGGAGATTGGGAGAAAGAGTTACTATTGATTTTGTTGGTGCATCGTTCCTCCATACAAGGAACAACCAAGAAATCACCCTTCTCGCTCATGTATGGCGGACAACCGCGACTTACACTGCACAATAAGACCTGGTCACAACAACAAGGTTAAGAAAAGAGAGGAAGGAGGCAATCAGGAACGTGGGAAAGAAACAAATATCAGACATAAAGAAGGCGGAACAACAGAGTAGAACGTGGAAACCTTTTGCAGTGGGGGACCAAGTAAAGTGTAGGGAACAAAAAAGTAACACAGCAAGGGGATCAGGGTGGGGAAAGCTGATCCCAAAGTGGGACGGACCGTACGTTATCACGGAGAGGCGTGGCGCGGTGTACACGATCCGGAGAAAAGACAAGCAGAAGCGTGTAAATGCTAGTCAACTGCAGAGATGGTTTCAAGATTTTCCAGTGTATGAGTCACGAAAAGCACCAAAGAAGACAGCGTTACGGAGATCAGAAATACTATGACGACAGCTTATTAAAAGGGGGGACGAGTGTGGTGCTGTGATGCGAACTACTTATAAGTAGTATATGACGTGTGTCAACGTAAAGTCTGGTAGCATAATATGGGGGAAGATCAAGAAAGGAAGAGTTAGAAAACAATGGAATTTGTATGAAACGCATGAATAGTGACAATGGATTGATGTTTTGCAACAGGAACAGTCCAGTTCGATATGATGAACTGTTATTTTACAAATGAACGATTTACGATATGGTTTTCCAATTTTACTGAGTAACTCTGTAATTTTCGTTAAATACAATTCGGTTGCCCCACCTGTGTTCTCACTCACTACAACAGTGCTTCATAGTTGAACTGGTTGCTTATAGTCCTAACATTATGATATAATACAAACTCAGAAAACATGACTTTGCATTCATGGGGATTGACATGGTAGTCATAATAAATAGGTGGTATCAGTAGTTCAGCGGTAGTAGGCGGTCTAATTTTTCATATCTTATTGTAAGTTACAGATATGTATACTCTCGTCGTATATGATAATTATTATGTACCGAGTCAATTTCTCTTTAAACTGTCTAAAACAGTAATAAATAACAAAGTGGAATTTTAGCATGAAAGATATATATAAGAAACCTCCATCAAGAATACTCACCAAGTGACTGTTCCGAGACCAGAGCCAAAATCAAATAAGGACCTTGGAATAAAACTTGGACATCGTTTACGAATTTCGTACAGGACGCGGCAAACAGTAGCAAAGTTAGGTGCCAAACGTGAGACAAGATAAAGTTCACAAGTGTGTCCAGAGTAACTAGAAAAGGAATAAATAGCTCGGCTTTTTGAGAAACCCACTGTTACAGGACCGAGTTGGAAACAGTAAACAAAAAATACCACGCTTCAAAATCGACTACTTCGGACAGATCTTTCAACAATAAAGAAACTACAAATTAGAAACAACGAGAACATACCACCATAATGATATAGTAAAGTCTTAAATGAAAGTAGTCAAAAAATTAATTGGAATTTATTGTTATTTTAGTCTCAATGAGTACTTTTCTCAATAAATGTGTGGAAACTGTCAGTAGTAATTCTAATGAGAAAGATTCTTCATGCACGAATAAAATATTTGTTAGCAACACATTTAGTAACGAACAAAAACAGAGTTTTCGGTACTATTACTAAGTAGCTGGATGTCATTGATGGTTACATTCATATACACACATCGCAAAAATGAATTTGTTTTACTGACAAAACAGCTCGATGGCTTATCGAGACATGTGACTTGATTAATTAGGTAAAGTTCAGGTTAACAGAAAAGGTGGCAGGGAATAATTATAAAGCTTGTAGAAAATTATTTGCAAAGTGGATGTAGTCATCCACACTATTGAAAAGACTGAATCCAAATAAAATCAAAAGTTATTCATTTTCTGAATGAAATCTTATAGGCGAAATCGAATCATCACCTAAGTGAATAGATGATTATGAGACGAATCATACAATATCTCTATACAACAGTCACTGGGGCGTTTAATCCCTGAAGGTTAAAACATAACTTAAGAGGGCAACAAAAAGTGGTACACAAAATCAAATATTTCAAAGATGAAATCAACAAACTAAAATTATTGGACAAGAATGTCATGTGGATAAGGTGAAAGCTTACTTTAGTGATCTCCATGACTTCAAATCAAATTCTTCACTAATTCGAACTTCACGTTGAGTAGTAAAGTTCTGTAGAGCAAATGTGAGACCTTCGTCTTGATCATGTGAATCCCAGTCCTCTGAGTCCTGAATTTTCGACAATTTATGGATAACCTTTTCCTATGATAGAATTTAAACAGCCGTCACTATAGTCTAGCCTTAAAACTTAGATTTACATGTCAACGTCCAAAAATCAAGCGCTGTAAAAACATGTTCACGAGAGAAACGAACAAATATCAGTAGCTATTTACCTCAGACATAAGAGGGCGCGACCAAAGATAATTTGTTAGAATTTTGGAACGATCCTCAATCAACTTCGGAGGAGAAAGAGAATGCTCTCGGAGATAATCGATAGCCACTGCATCTAATCGAGCAGGTAGAGATATAGGAGGCAGCTGTAGATAACATGGAAGTTGGTTTAATCTTGAAGCCCAGGATTTTGAACAACCATCAAGATCTTTGTCACGTTTTCGAGAGTTCTGTGGGGGTGGTGTTGAGAAAGTTGATTGCAGTTCATCAGACGCTCGAAAACGTAAACTACCATTAATCAAACGGCCAGTGAAATCAACCACAGTCCTTCCCCGAGAAGTCTAAACAATTTTTAATTGATACATAACGTAGTACATAGTCAGATATATGATTCAGAATTTACGTATTTACGACAAATAAAGTTTGTTGAGAGAACTGATAAAGCGTTGATTTCAATGATCAAAAACATTACGCGTTTTGTGCACAATTAAGTTAAATTCAATAACAATCTATGACTCAGTTCAGTCTCATGGTGATATGCTTAAATGACCTAGTGCCAAACAATCTAAATTACTTAGAAACAAAGTAAACGTATAAACGGAACCAGAGGGTAACCGGAACGTAAAGAATGTCAACTAATAATAAAATAAGTAGAAAACTTAAGATATTCTCCAGTCATTCTGGCGAAAATTTTAGGCTCAGTGAGCTTAATGATGATGGTATAATTACTACGATTAAGTAAACAGCAAAGAAAAAAATAAGGCTGTTTGGGTAGTCAAATTAAAGCATTGGATCAAACGTGTCACACGACTTTAAAACACTGAACAAAAGTTTACGTATTCAAACCACGAAAGTCCCTCAAGAAACCTAGGAAGACAAACAACTCATCCAGAAATGACCACAAACTGCAATATGCGTGTAAGTTTATTGATATTTTACAAAGTAGGTACAGGAATGACTGAGGTCCTAATCAGCTTTATGAAGCATATGTCGAATTGCTAATAAAGCCTATACATTATGATAGCAAAAGAGATCCTTCGTGCATGTCTGGCACTTCGAGATTTTGTTCAGTAAACTAAGAACTCATGATATCGGTTAAGCGGACCACACAATATCACAGAGTAAATCAGCAGAAATTTAGTAATGTATAGGCAGAAATGACACGAGCTGAAGTAAACAGAGATATTTTCGTAACTTATAAGATATAGTGAATGCTTTTTAGGGTCATACTACCAAATACAGATTTTTATCACCCCTAAATCAAGTTAGCTTACTGGTGTCATGAATTATCTGGCAAACGTTGGTTTGTCTCAAGTGAATTCTGCTTCGGCCAGTATTGTACATAGGCGCACATGGTAAGCTGGGGAATCATGTGTGATGAACAACCTACATAAAGTAGGTTTGTAAGCTTAATAACTAACGTTTGCTCCTATTTCATAATTTTATGACTACACCCACGACTGTCCACTCCGTATTTCAACCACATGAGATAAGCTATTCAAAGACATTTATTATAAAGCGCAAAGTCTTGTCATAACTCCTGCCATTACTGGTCATATCTGAGTCTTAAAGAAACTCAACACCAACGGTTGAAAATTGATTTTGCCCCTCGGTAAACATCTGAACATTCATTTAGCAATGTATATTGAAGAAAGCTGAATGATTTGCCTGCATCTGTACAGATACTTGGTCGAACATTGTTGGCTTGTGCAAATTTTAAATCGATACAATGGTTTCCATTCTCATTCACTGAATTCCTACTGTTCATACCAATCTCTGATCTTAGAGATAACGACAGGTGGATGCGCTGTCACTCACAATATAATGATTGAACATAGCAGTAAAGCACAAGTCAATGCATTCGGCTTTGAGAAAGTAGGTAGATGATAGTCATTAGGTGGTTGCTTCAAGTTAAGGCGATAAGGAGCTGGAGATTGTTGACTGATAAATGAACGTCACGTATTGAATCCATTAAACCATCTGTCTGCTGAAAGATGCACAAAGTTACCATATAACATTGAGTGGTATCTTTCCGAAACGTTAACTGATACAAAACATGTCGATTATGATTATGCTGATGTACGTGGTACTTTCCAGCTACAATGTACCAGGGAATGGTTTTTCACTTAAATTCTATGTAAGACTGAAGAACTAGCATGTAAAATATATTAGTTATATAAAAGAATATTGGTCCAGGTAAAATGCCCTAACCAAGTAAATGAACGTTAATATGATGCTTCTTGAAGCAATTATTTCTACTAATCAGTAGTTATTAGCCGAAATAAACATTGACCTATGAATAAAAATGCACACATATTTTTGAGGTCTCATGGAAAGTAGTTAACGATGAAAAATACAGCCCAATAGCAGTTAGTTTATGAACTCAATAATTACGGCTCTTTACTACTCATAGATTTTAACACACCAACATAATCATGGAAATAGAACAGACTATATAATATTATTATTATATTATTACTAGTAGCAGTAGTGTGATGAAGCTGATGCTCAACCAACAACCACGTTTTTAGGTTGGAAACGCAGGACGATGGTTCGTAGAAATCCTGAACTCCCACCAGCACCAATCTAACTATGAGCTCGTTTCGAACCTGATTTCCCATCATTAATTGATGGAACCGCTTATCACATTGTTAATCAGGGACGAGATGTCTTCAAGTGGAAAAAGTAACTAATCATACAACTTTTTGAAGTATGGAATCTCAGCAAAAGGCTTTGCCTATGAAGTTGACAGACGATAAACTATCGACTACAATATGGCCAAAAAAAGTAAAACATGATTTAAACCTTTTTGACGGGACTATGGTCTAAGGACGAACCAATTACATATGAGGGGACTAGTCTTAAACGTTGTCGAAAAATTTACACATCCATACAGTTTAATAGAACTTAGGTCTTTATAGCAAACGTCAAATTAGAACATCTGATCCCTAACACGAATACTATGCTTAAAACCCTCTTAAAAATTCCCCTTTCTCGTTTATAACCCTCATTCAGTCGTAGTAATTTGGGGAGTATCCTCAAGGTCGTTTAGGCCATCGCTCAAAGATCGTCCGTGAAATATCGTCTCACAACATAAGGTAATGTACGATGGTCTACTGATGGCAGTGATTGCACAAGAACCATCCAAGATGACTATTCTACCACACCCCAACAGGGATTAAGAATAATTAGAATTAGAGCCAGTATATCCGGTATGAAGGTAGTACACTGAAGTCCTTGAGTGGACAAATCAGAATCATAATAACGCAAAATATGAAGTTCAATAATAGATTAGATTCATGTCATTAGTGAAAGTATATAGATTGTCAAAAATTGGCCTTTAAAATACTTCAGCTCAATATAAATCTTAATCGGAAGCAGAAAAGTGAATCCTAAATGGGTGTATAACTACGAAAGTAGAACCTACTGCCGGCCCCAAGCCCGGATAATGGAGGAGGGTTGGACATGGGGTTGGCGACCCCATCCCACAATAAAAAATAACCTGCCAAAAAAAAGCTAACCATAACAAATAATTCAAACCATTTAAACTCTGCCCTGGCAGTGTGAAGAAGAATTATGACGTCTCGTGATGAAAGCTGAGTTCCCTCGGAAGTCACAAGGCCGATGCCTCTTCTGACAACCAGAGTAACCATTCTTTTAGGTACGTGGAACGTTCGAACATTGTGGGAGACTGGAAGACTATTTCAAATTGCGGCAGAAATGAAAAGATACAACTTCGAGGTGCTCCAAATCAGCGAAACGCATCGGACACAGGCAGGACAACTGATACTAGCTTCAGCGGAAATGCTGTTATACTCTGGTCATGAAGAGGAAAATGCCTCACATACACAGGGAGTTGCACTGGTGCTGTTCAAACAAACACAGAAGGCCCTGATAGAGTGAGAATCTCATGGACCCAGGATCATCAAAGCATCCTTCAAAACAAAGAAACAGGACATTACAATGAACGTCATCCAATGGTATGCACCTACCAACGACTACAATGACGACGACGATAAAAATCAGTCCTACGAAATGCTACAGTCAATCGTCGACAGATGCTCACCAAAAAATTTTACGATTCTAGTGGGAGACCTAAATGCCAAGGTTGACATGGACAACACTGGATTTGAAGAAATCATGGGACGACATGGACTGGGAGAAAGGAACGAAAACGGTGAGAGATTAGCAAACCTATGTGCCTTCAACAAACTGGTCATCGGTGGCACAATATTACCACACAAAGCCACATGGATTTCACCGGACCACACTACTCAAAACCAAATCGACCATATCTGTATCAATAAAAAGTTCAGAAGGACCACGAAAGATGTGAGAACCAAGAGAGGAGCTGATATAGCTTCAGATCACAACTTGCTGATCGCCAAAATAAAACTGAAACTAAAGAAACACTGGACAACGGGGCAGACAACATCACAGAAGTTCAATACAGCCTTTCTTCGGGATACCGTAAAACTCAACGAATTCAAGATAGCCCTCAGCAATGAGTTCCAGGACTTGCAGGATCTACCTTGGAGAACAATTGGAAAGGGATCAAAGGGGCAATCACTTCAACATGTCACGAAGTTCTGGGTCACGGGAAGTACCACCACAAGGAATGGATGTCTGTTGATACTCTCGCAAAAATTCAAGAAAAGAGGAACAAGAAAGCAGCAATCAACATCAGCCAAACAAGAGCAGAGAAAGTTAAGACATAAGCTGAATACACCGAAGCACACAGGCAAGTGAAGAAGAGCATCAGAGCTGACAAACGTAAACATGTGGAAGATCTAGCGATGTCGGCGGAAAAGGCTGCAAGAGACGGAAACTTGAGACAGTTGTACGAAACCACAAAGAGGCTCGCTGGAAACTATCGTAAACCAAAACGATCAGTAAAAAGTAAGGAAGGCAAAGTAATCAGCGACACTAAAGAACAGCGAAATAGGTGGGTAGAGCACTTTCAGGAACTCCTGAATCGACCAGCTCCACTGAACCAACCCAACATCGAAGCAGCATCTACGGACCTCTCAATTAATATTGGCGCACCTACAGTTTAAGAGATCAGCATGGCCATCAGACAAATCGAGAGCGGAAAACCGGCAGGACCAGACAACATTCCAGAAGAGGCAGTCAAAGCAAATGTGGAAGCAACTGCGAAAATATTTCACATTCTCTTCAAGAAGATTTGGAATGAAGAACAAGTACCATAGGATTCGAAAGAAGGATACCTCATCAAAATACCAAAGAAAGGCGATCTCAGAAAGTGTGAGAACTAAAGAGGCATCACTCTTCTCTCAATACCAGGAAACGTCTTCAACACGGTATTGTTAAAAGGAATGATGGACTTCGCAGACGTCCGACTTCGAGATCAACAGGCCGGACTTCGTAAGGATCGATCATGTACTGACCAAATTGCTACATTACGGATCATTGTGGAACAATCAATAGAATTCAACTCACCACTCTACATCAACTTCATCAACTACGAGAAAGCATTCGATAGCGTGGACAGGAAAACACTGTGGAGGCTTCTTCGACACTACGGTGTGCGCGAGAAAATCGTTAACATCATACGGAATTCTTATGATGGATTCAACTGCAAAATCGTGCACGCAAACATGAGATATAGATAAGCTGAATATTGAAACTAAAAGTGGATAGAGTGGTGTTTCAATTGGGTTACATAGCTCCCTATTATGGAAAAGCACTAATTTTTAATACTGTTGAGGCAGATGAGTTACATTAAATTCACCAACACAGATCTCAATTAAAGCTTGATGGATATACATTTTTCTAACATACTGGTGTCATAAAAGTTTGTATAACTTCACTTTTGGCATTGTTAATAATTATTTTTGATCAACCATAGAAATGTATATTAAATATGAAAACATATGATGGAGAGACGACCAGTGTAGCAGCAGCTTCTTCATCAGTAGGTCTCAACATCCATAAAGGAAAAAGCAAAATTCTTCGATGCAACACAACATGCACCAACCAAATCACTCTTGACAGAAATGCCTTGGAGGACGTTAACAACCAAGGTGGATCCGATGCAGATGTGAGGTCGCAGATCGGCAAAGCGAGGGCTGCATTTCTACAGTTGAAAAATATCTGGGACTCCAATCAAATATCAATCAACACCAAAATCAGGATTTTCAATACAAATGTGAAGACAGTTCTACTGTATGGAGCGGAAACATGGAGAACTACCAAAGCCATCATTCAGAAGATACAAGTGTTTATTAACAGTTGTCTACGCAAAATACTTCGTATTCGTTGGCCAGACACCATCAGCAACAACGAACTGTGGGAGAGAACAAGTCAGATTCCAGTGGAGGAGGAAATCAGGAAGAAGCGGTGGAAGTGGATAGGACACATACTACGAACAGCACCTAGCTGCGTCACGAGACAAGCCCTTACATAGAACCATTCAAGGCAAAAGGAAAAGAGGAAGGCCGAGGAACACATTACGCCGAGAAATAGAGAAAGATATGAGAGGAATGAACAAACATTGGAACAGAACTGGAGAGGGAAGCCCAGGACAGAGTTGGTTGGAGAAAACTGGTGAGCGGCCTATGCTCCATTGGGGGTAACAGGCGTAAGTAAGTAATTAGGTAAATGGTTTTATACGAGTAACCAAACTTAACTCTTCTCACTAAGAATCCTATGGTAAAGTATTTATTAACATTTAGCTCGTTTCCAGGTGTGTTAGAATATCCTTCCCCCTAACTCTCACGCGTTATAAACACCATTTGCCAGCTAAGTTTTCAAATGATGGAAAGACACAGCAATAAATTATGGGTCGATGTCATTAAGTGAAGAATTAAACTTAGTGACAGAAGTTAATTTTAGTATTTATTCGTATCCATTCGTCATCATTTAGTATTTCAGCTGGTGACGAAATCTTTGTAGGACGATAACCCTAATTCATTGATCATCTCTACTGTTATAGGTGAACTCACCGATTTCCTTCCACTAAAGTGAGCGATTCAACACATAATAGCCGAAGCTATCATTGATTAGAGTAATGAGGCAAAATGGTTTTTAAAGCACGAATATTGAATAATTAAAAGATCTGCAAAATCACAAATTTGTTCCACGTGTTGAGATCGGCAAACTGACGTTCAAAACGTCTACTGTATATCAGAAGTAAGATAAGTTTTGGACATATGGTTTACAGACTAATACAGCGTAGAAAATAAATTCAAGGATGTGAGATAAATCCAAGTCCTGTAGCCTGTCGAGTCTCACTTGCATTAAGTGGAGATATTCGTTCCAGTTGCCTTGTAGCTACTACATGTTATTACGGATCTTAAACTTATGGGGTAAACCTCTTGAGGAACTTATGAGTCTCGTCTGCGTTACCTTAGTATGTACAAAGTGGAGATTTGAAGTAGATAGGCACCTGATGTGATAGCAATCGTAGAAAAACGTAGGTAGTAACAAAGTGTGGTTGAATTTCAGTGGCGATGTAAGCTGATCAATCATAATTCTGAAAGCGATTCCAACTAAATACATAGCACTGACTGCACAAACAATCTGGATGAAATATAAGATGCATGAAAATTCTTAATCTGAATTCCTTGTCACCGCCCGGCATTCGTTTTCCAGTCTGCCCATGGGATTCAGCAAATTAAATTTGAGCAGAAAATTCTCAAGTTGGAAAAGATTTTGAATATATGGTTAGGAGACTAATATGGCGTAGAATATAGATCCAAGGATGGGAGATAAATCCAAGTTCTATAGCCGGTCGAGTCTCACTTGCACTAAGAGGAGATATTCGTTCCAGTTGCCTTGTAGCCGTACTTACGAGTCATGGCCCTACTTCACTAGAGCATTCATATGCCGCTAGTGCTGACTGCAAAACCATGAAAGTTGATGACAGTCCTAGCTAACCAGTAATTCACACCGACTCAACTAGTTGATCAAGTCTAAATACCGGTCGACATTGAGACTCAGGAGCGAATCATCACATTGAACGACAAACTTATGAAATGAGGATAAAATAGAACTAGAAGATGATCATTATAGGTTGCGTTATTTAAAGGCTTGCATTTCCGCATATATCACCGATATAAATTGTCTGTGTAGATCTTCAAGTTGGAGTCGACTCCACAGTTGCAATGCGATCCTTTGGCTTACGTCGAAGTTACATTACTCTGCGGTTTCCATGTTCTATCACTAAACGGGGAAAATATGTTCTTACTGAAGAAATGAATTAGTAAGACTGAAGAATTGCAGAGTGCAGCCACTACCAAATAAACTATTCTATGAAACATGATTGACCAATCTGCTTTACTCATTGTCGACCTATACGATTGTCAACGGAATTTCAACCAACCAATGATCTAACGTTTAAATATGTTAGGTGGTTGGTAATCTGATTCATACTCCATGACTTTGTTCTGAATATACGGGGGAAGATCATTTACTTAATGCGGTTTCATGCAATATGCTTAACGTCTAGATGTACTACTTTTTCAACCTTTGGACATAAGAAAATTATTCGTCACATCTCCATACATCGTGCCCCCATGGTATCGCCAGAAGCACTTGGTTAATTTGAGTCTGCCTCCTGAGAACAGTGAAGCATAGTGATATAGGCAACATGAAGCAGTCCAGACAGTTTAGGGACATTTTAAAGTATTCAAATATTAATCTGAGCGTCCCTTTTTACTACATAGAAGTCTTTGAGTACCGAGACACTATATAACCTTAGGTTTTTTTGTCGTTAACTGTTCGAAAACTATTCGTATCCCATGGTGCCTTATGAATAAAGATATAAATGTTTTATTGTGTTGAAATTCACTACGTCTTTAGTTCCTCATTTTTGAGGTGACTTGAGTTTTGCGCCATCCAATATCCAATATCTTTTTCACGAGCTAGTGTAAACCAATTTGATTTCTTCGCGCTCGATTCTTGTTCTTTCGGTACGGTTCCAGGTGTTCGGTAATGTCCAATGGATGGAGGTCTAGCCATAATCTTGACCGTGGCATATTATGTATTCATACTAATCTAAAGAATTTTAACTTAAAGTCTTAAATCACAATCATTACTTATCGTCTTTTTATCTTTACTGAATTCGTTACACGCTATTGCTTTCGGTAATTTTTCTTAAAATCAACTAGCGGCAGTACACTTTCGTCCCTGAGCAGACTTTGAAACAATTCGGAACGAGTAGTAAAATTATAATTTACCAATAGCACATGCGTTTTTAGAGTTTCAGAAATCATTGGTTCAAATGCAAGACCATCCTCGCAAGCATCGACGGTTTGTAACCACAGAAAGCCTCGACATCAGCTCGAGCTCTATAGCGGACATAACCAAGGCTATCGCAACTCTTCACTTTATGCAAAGAAAACTTGATGCTATCACAGCTGAATTATTATTAACGTTGTTTAAGACATATGCGCCCTCACACCTTGAGGTTCACAACGTCGTCTCCTTAAAGAGACATGAATCTGCTTAATCAAGTGCAGAGACGAGCAACGAAATGGGTGGTAGGGTTGAAGAATAAAGCCTAAGAAGATAGACTCCAGCACTTGGGGTTATTAGCTTTGTTATAGAGTAATCAGAGGCGATATTGGTTTACAGCACGCCAAACCACCTCCAGGCCACTCAAGGTAATCCTCGAAAAATTGCGCATCTAAGTGCGAACACCCGGGTTCTTGCACACTTCACCAATACGACTTGTTGCAACTTAGAATGCTGTCCCAGCTGAGGTGACCACAGTACCCTCAATGGACAACTTTAAGGAGAGACTATTAATACACACATACAGAATTATCATCTCCCTCGTGGAGAAGCTGTGCATGATGCATGTCTTGAGACCTTCTGGCTGTTATTATTGCCATCTCCTTTACTTCATATATGTTGTTTATTATCTTTGTCGTTTCCCTTGCTTACATTTCGGTCCTCTTGCACAATTTTCACCGACAATTAAACTGAAGTGTCCGTTTAGTTCTGAAGTACTATTAGCATTAGAATTTTCTCCTTATTGTTCTCCACATTGCAACTAACTGATCCCCAGTCTGGTAATGTGATAACTGCTGGTATCGAGAAACCCTAATGTCCTTAAACGAATGTATCCATTCTAATCACGGGACATACAGACGACTGCAAACTGACTAGAATTAGTGCACGCGAATGGCTAGACTACCATCCACTGTTCTTTGGTATCATAAACGTCAAGTACCGTAGTAAACACTTGTTAGTTTCATTGAAAACCTTCTACTAGCAATTTCTTAACTATATTAACGATGTTACTATAGTCTGACTAAATGTTTTGAAAATAATATTATGAAATAGGTTAATTTCTCCCAAATGCAATGGTTTCTTTTTTTCGGCTTTTCATTTAGGATCATAAGAATGATGTCCACATCTTTTGGAGATCTATGTATAAATTATTGAGATTGAATAACCAGTGTAGATTAGGATTATTATAGACCGCGCAAGTCAGACAGTGATTACTAAAGTATTACAGAAGCTGCTTGATATCGCCATATCTCACTAGTGTGTCGCAGTTATGTCAGGTACGATATTTATTTGGTGACGACTCGTACTCTGTCAGATTCAGATTCAACGTTACCAGCTACAGACGACTTTGGCTCAAGGTTCTTAGAATTTGATGAATACTCCTTCGAACAGCCTGATAATACAGAGGTAACAAGTTCATTTTTGTGCAAACAAATACTTAATAATGAAGTTAAAGGTGGGTTGTGACTGGTTTTTTTTTCAGCTCCATGAAAGAAAGAAAATATCCCAAAATTTCTATTACTAATTTTGGAAATTACTGAAAAAAGGGCTGCCATCGAGTTGTTTATTTTACACAAGATTTTTTACTAGGACTGGCTTAGGGTGGGGGAACGGAACAGATTACGGTAGTTTAATGGAAGTGTTATTCTACAACTCACGTTAGTTTTCTTGTCTCTTTACATACAAGCGACTTCACCAATACGAAAATCATAATTTCTTTAGAACAGTTAGAATTCCATTGTTGATTAGATAGTATTCGAAGCTGCAACTAATTGTATGTTTCAGCAAACATCAATTAATATCCTGTATACTTTAAATGACGTAACTCGAAATCGTTTACACTGACGTAGCTGCTTCCATTGTTTGTCTTTTCTCAAGTTCTAGTATTCTGGATTCCTCATGACCTCTTTTAAATTTATTGCACTGGCTCATACTTCTCAAATCATATCTCTCATCTTTAATCTTTTCCACAGCTATGAGATTTCAAATAACAATCCCGTCTCTGTTAATTTGGTATGGGAACTCTAATTGATGTACGTACGTACCAAATCCCACGTTGCAGCTGACTGTACTTATACTTATAGATCTTTCCGCAGTTAGGCCGTCATCGAGTTGAAGGTCGAAACTTTGACACCACATTTGGCTTTACATAGGCTGCATCAGTTATCAGAAAAACGATAGGGATGATTATTCCAGATATTTGTTCGCGTGAACCTTCTGGCTCATCTAGTCATCCCTGAAGCAAGTGTGTCAATTTTCAAAAGTATGACCTATGTTCACTAAAATATATCTGAATGTGTTTGATTTTGATTCGCGAACTAGCTAATGTTCGTGGTTGCATTAATGACACACTTACCAAGGTAATTCCCTGAATGGTAGGTGTGCAGATTTCAGAAGACGAAGCTACTTATTGGTTGATTGAGTATAAGAATACACGTGAAATAATAGCAACTAACATAAGTGTACAAAATACTAAACCATAATAAAAGTAACTTGATGACTGTAGACCAAAATATAGGTAGCTGAATAACCAATATTTGTTCTAGCATTTCTATGCGGTCCATTTTATCAGGTTTCTTCTTGACTAACATTTATTTTTCAGAGTGATGCTTTTTCTGCGTTCCTACCCGAATTTTGCGCCGTTGCGGAACAAAAGGTTCCATTTCTTGGTGAGCAATTACTTGAGACAGTCAATGGACGCAATAAATACACGAGCCATGTTCCTGAGGATGACCAGGGTTCCAATGTCATTGACAATTTAAAGTCTGACGCTAGTTCTGATGATTCTGATTACGATGAAATGGTTTACAAACGTCCAAAACTGTTAACTGCACGGCAGATAAGTTTGCAATCTCAGAAAATCGCTGTGCCAATTAATATTAAGAACCCGAAACAGTCTGCAGCTCATTCAAAACTAATTAGTCTGGAATGCTTAGATCCAACTAAACCACCTACAACACTAACACCGGAACAAATCGCCATCCGACAAAAGAGAATAGCCAACCGCAGAGAGTCGGCTAAGCACAAAGCAGAAATGGAAAAGCGCCAAACCGTCGAGCGCTTGCTTAAGGTAAGCTACCGTATGTACTTAGTTCAGAACGTCAGTCACTGGAATTAACAGAATAGATGCAAGTCCTATTTTGCATGATAAATTGCCTCACTTTAAGTACGTAGATAAGGTCTACACTTAAAATGTTTGTTTAGTCCACTGGCTGTTGCATCGTTTATGATATTCGCTCTTCAGAGATGTTATGGTTACTATAATCCACAAAAGAAAATACACAAATAAACTAATTAGGATGAGCTACCAGGGTATGCTGCTTATCACACACCCCAAACTGTATGTATCGTAGTAGTTAGTCCCCGCAAGTGTTATATGTTCATGTTTTCACAGCTAATGTGTAATACTTGGTTACAAGACAATTCGGAAGAATTAAACGAAGCATGCATTTTCTTTTGTAGATCAACGCAAATGTTATTGGGCGACGTGGTCGAGGCAGAAGCAAAAGTCTTCGGAATAATGTTTTGGCACACTGCGACCAGATTTCAGTTCAAACGCGTCCAAAATTTGTTGTCTCAATGTGTGAGGGGGATACAACTGAAAGGGAGTATCTCGATGATCAGCATGTTTCATTACAACTCAGTGAGGATAATTGTATGGATACCGAGTTAGTGAACAATGCCTATAAAAATACGAAACTGTCTGATGATGTCATACCTTTAAGCTCATCAAACTGTAAACCAAATGTTCAGTCATGTAACCCCAAACCAGGATACATCCGCTTTGTATCATCATCTCGTTTGCCAACAAAAACACTCGTCTGTTTACCTTTGACAGATAACGACAATCACAGGTGCATTTATTCGCATACTGATGTTTATTTAAAGAAGATTGCAGCCCCTGAGATACCAAAATCACGTCTTTGTGACATGGGTTGCGGCTGTGTTAGGCGCTATGAATGTGCCAAAACAGGCCGTTCCTTATGTAGTTTATCCTGTTATAAGACTAATTTATCAGGACTTCCATTACCCATTTCAACTTAAATCCAAACGTTCGGGCATTCCGAATACATTTAAACACAATTTGTAATTTCTAACAGAAAAAGCATTTGTATTATAGTATGTGGCATATTATTTTCTATGACGCCGTAGTACATAGGAATGATTAGAAAGTACCTATTGAGAAACGATACCAAATGGTGTTTGAATGACTATTTTTAGATAAACACATGTTATGCACTTCCCTACTTTTGGAAAGTAGAAGCTATATTGAATGAATTTTATGTTTTCGAATGTTGGCGAAAAAATAGTTACCTGATTAACGAATTATTACGTCAACAAAACCACCAGGTCAAATTTACTTTACAGTCACTGCTACGTATGTATGCATGCATGACTAGTCATTTGCTCGCTCTTTAGAGCTGCTTCATAATGCCTCCGCTTTGTACTTGCACCTCGCTTCGTTTTCCGCTCCCCTCGGCCTCTAATCCCCTCCCCTTTGCGCCCTTCCCTATATGAATCTTGTCGCGCCCATGTCATCGCGTCCTCGTCATTACTTTGTGCTGTTCTGTCCTGCCCTCATTTTCTATTACCCTCCTTATTCGCGACATCTGACATTCTTAGTACCTGCCCCGATCCCGTCGCTACCCACCACCCCGTCTCGCGAGATGTGCCTGCCCTGCCGCCTCGCCCGAAACGTTCGGCTACCTCCCGGGGCCGCAGTCACCTCTCCCGCAGTGTGTGTCCCTTGGTCGCCCGGCCTCCCGAATCGTGTCGTTGCCTTCCGCCCCGTGATCCTCCCTGTCCCCTTTTCCCCGGTCCCCCCAGGCGTCCGTTACACCGTGGCACCTTCGTCACCTCTAGTTCCGGTGCCTCTCCGTCGTCCGCCCCAGAGCCGCACTGTCAGTTCAACTCCCTCCGGCCGGCAGCTCTCGTGGCCCACAGTCCTGGTCCTGGCGACTATTACGGGCTTGCGGTCTTCTTCCACGCCGTTCCTCCGGTCAACACGCTCCCTTTCGCCGGCGCCACGCTGCGTCGATCGCTGCGAGCCTCTGCCTCTTCGCATTGCGCAGCATCCCGCGGCCCGCCTGCGTCCATGTGCCCTCTCGGCGTGTCCGCGATCCTATCTCCCCCGGGCCCTCGTCTGCGGCCTCCCGCCCCGCGCCAACCTTTCCGTGCCTCCCCCTCCCGTCCCTCCCCCCCTCCTGTCTTCCCCGCCTGTTTCTCCCGCCTACCGTGACGCCGCCGTTGAAACTGCTCGCAGTCTCCCCCTCGCGTTTATCGTACGTGCCGGCCTCTCGGCGCGCATAACGTGGGCGCCGTCGTAGGCGCAGAAGGCCCCCTCGAGCTTTCTCTCGCTAGCTGCATATTGTCTGTCGACAGGCCCCTCAGCCGTGGCTGCGCCCTCTCGACACCCTTATGCCGCGGTCCCCGTCACCCTAGTTCACTCCATGAATCACTATACGTTCTGGGCCGCCCGCAAACTCTTCTTAGCCTCCCTTTGCCTTGACCGGGAAACGAACCAACAACTACCCCATCGACATGAAGTACAGCCTGGAGAATTATTTACTCCCTCGGACTCCATTTAATCAGCGTCAGATTTAAAGTTTTTATTATTTATCACCTAATAGAACTATGTCACGTTTTCTTGTGATATTTATCCTATGCCCAGTGATACGCAAAAAAACGCAATACCAGCATGGTATGAATCTAAACATGTGCGCCAAAACGAGCGGCAGTCCTCTATCGAACCACTCCATCGGTGGCTGATGGCGACATCATGTTTTTCCTTATGCCTAAGGTTAGTGTTTGCTAGAAATAGGCAGTCATCTGAGCACAGTTGCAACAGACGATCGCCATTGTCTTTTCTCTGAGCCGCGACACCATAAGATCCACCAAGATGTCTTTCCCTTTCATTTAATCTACATAGTTGAGCATTGGAGTCACCAGCCATTGTTACTATATCAGAGCGCCTAGCTGTTTGGAGGAGGTCCGAAAGCTTTCTGTACAACTCATCTTTAACCTCGCCTGAACTGCAGTCAGTGGGGGTGTAGGCTGATATGACGAAGAGGCGACGGCGAGTGTCCCGAAGAAGTACATTAACCTTATACAAGCACTCTACTGTAACACTACTGGTCGAGTGAGAGCCTATGGCGAACTGTCACCGGAACTCTCTGCATCAAGTTGTGCGCGTCAGGGATGTCCACTCTCTCCATTCTTGTTTTATTTTATCATAGACATGCTCTTAGAAATAATCTTATCCTCGTCTGAATTTTCAGGAGTAGACCTTTTACCAGGAGGCTCGTTAATCGACTTAGAATATTCCGATGACATAGTCCTACTTGGTGAAGACGTTGACAAAATGCAGAGTCTTCTGGCCGCCCTAAGCAACAATGCAAGCATGTTCGGGATGCGGTTTCCACCCTCGAAATGCAAAATATTGCTTCAAGATTGGCTTGTTTCGGCACCTGAACTAGTGATAAGGAGTGAAGTAGTCGAACGTGTAGACCGGTTCACTTATCTTGGGAGTCTCGTCAGTGCCGACATGTGTTACGTATGGCTAACCACCGACTGCCTCGACGAGCTATGTTTTGTAGTGTAGGAGTAGGTTGGAATAAAGCTAGGAGCGGCGAAACCTAAACATGGCACAAATGCATGAAGTCACTGACAAATGGACTGAGTCATGTTGGTAGATGTAGGCTACCTCGTTGGGGTCCGCGAGACGATAGTCACCGATGGTTAGAGACCTTGAACGTGTCTCAAAATCGCTTGCAATGGCGCAAGTGCATCCATTCTTTGAGCTCTCTCGAATCCTATTCTTCAGCACCTATACTTTTGTCTTCCTAATCTTATCTCACTGAATTATACTTCTTGATTAATATATTTTTCAACCCTAGTCCCCTTCATTACCATTAATACCCCTACTATCTTTATCACTATGGGATTTGTATAGACATTTGCGTCTGTGCGGTAATGTGGTACGGCAGCATGAACTTATGTACATACATACGAAGTTCTACGTTGCAACTGACTGTAGGGAGAATTTGTTTGTCACAGACTTCCTCTCGTGTTTTCACGGGTATGAAGGCGGATGTCACTTTCCGGCTGTCCACATCGTGAAAGCGTCTAACATGTGCTAAAAGAAATCTTCTTGACCATTGTTGTTTGGGTTCATTATCTACCCTAAAAACGCTTTTGAGAAATAACTCTAGAATTCAGCAAGCGGGCGCAAGATTACGCAAAGTCCTACGTTTGTAATGGCTAGTTCGCTTTGAAAGAATCACAATCAAGTGCAATAATGTTTTACACAGCACGGACGGCAAAGGTAGGTTTCCGAAATTACCAGTAAAACTACTCATATATGCGTTATTTTACGTGTTGTTTTCGAGTATCTCATAGCTTGATGAAGATTTCCCAAATAAATGGTGTATCTTAACTTGCTATATCCGTGTGACTCTTGAGATTAGAGTAATTTATACAGACACGAAGTAAAATTGATCTGGTTATCTGTCTTGTGACGTACATGAATTGCTCGGTAAATCCAAATCAATTTTCTTACGAAAGTTTATTGCATTTATTTTGAACCGACAGGTACTTACTAATATTTCGAAAGCTACAACACAGAAAACCAAGACTTAAGGAACTTACGAGCCAAATATTACTTAAGTAATTATCATGGCATTCTGCACGGACCAAGAGTGAAAACGGATTTAAGTTTCAAAATACAATGAACACAAAAGATAAAATATGTGATGAAAAAGCGAGCATTTACATCATGTACAACTGTTGTTTTAAAGAAGCTGGTTACGAAATTATAAGTCAGTTTTCGGGAATTCATAAGGCTCCAACATATTTTTGAACTTCTGAGCTTTAGTTAGCATATCGGTGAAATAAGTATCAATGTCATCAGTTTCACTCTTGGAGCGCAGCTTGTACTCATCTATAATTGAATCCAATAGGGTCCGAATACGATGTTTGTTCGAGGAATCAAGTGATTCCCAACCACACAGGTTGAAAAACTTCAGACACGCTGTTAAGATATTTTCACGTATGTCGTGATTTGTTGGCGCACTCAAATCATTCTCTCCTTTGCCTTTTTGAACATCATGAACTAAAGAAATGCGCAGCGTTTCGCAAAAGCCATGTATCAAAAAGCTTTCTTCAAAAGGGATACTGAAGATAGAAAAAACATCGTACGTTAACATTATATATATATATATATAGTTTGCTCGAGGGCTAGAAACTGTTCAGAGTTTAAAAACCATGTTAATAACAAAGTTGGGTAAGATGGGAGAAAGTGGATAACCCAGATGGACACCAAAGTAATCCCCGATCGTAGCTGCTACTTTGAAGTGGTGGTCAGGCTTGCCTATCGTGATGACCCAACCTAGCTATATTGGCTAGAACATATGTTCCTGAAGGTTCTACCATGCCAGGCAGGTCGATTGGAGAACGATGAGACTAAAAGCAGCTACTCACGGTCTGAGAGTGAAGTCGAACTGCTGACTACAGAGAGGTGTAACAGAAGTAAGGTGTTCCCCTCGGACAACCAGCATCAGCAGCGATGCTGCCTTCTCACAAGGAAGGAAGGGTTAGAAAAGGTCGACCCTAAAATTGTCACACCTCACCGTACCTCCCGGATTTCCGTCTCCGTCGGTAAGGGTGCCCACTAAGGGCCTTTAAGAGCGGAGCGGTGCAGGTATAGAATTGAGTCTTAGGACAGAACTAGCTCTCCTAGACTGGGTCCCAGTAGATAGTCGCTTGTTTGCTGTCCGACTGAACGGGGCAGTAAGGATTCGGAAGGATAGGGACACTCGCCGTCGCCTCTTCGTCATATCAGCCTACACCCCCACTGACTGCAGTTCAGGCGAGGTTAAAGATGAGTTGTACAGAAAGCTTTCGGACCTCCTCCAAACAGCTAGGCGCTCTGATATAGTAACAATGGCTGGTGACTCCAATGCTCAACTATGTAGATTAAATGAAAGGGAAAGACATCTTGGTGGATCTTATGGTGTCGCGGCTCAGAGAAAAGACAATGGCGATCGTCTGTTGCAACTGTGCTCAGATGACTGCCTATTTCTGGCAAACACTAACCTTAGGCATAAGGAAAATCATCTTTTGACCTGGCGACCCCGAAAGTCGTCTGTCAGTCAGTTGCAGAGTGGAACTTCGTACGTATGTAAATAAGATGGTATTGTGTCCAGTTTCCAGATTATACCTAAGATCTCGGTCAGTCTATCTGTTAAAACTGGACCACTATCCTTAAACATCTCAGGGGTAAGCCTGTCAGGACCTGCTGCTCTCCCTCACTTCAGATTTCCTATAGTTTTCTCAACTTCATGTAGACTAGGACTTAGATCGATTTTCTATTCAGGATGACTGGGGATCGTGAGTAACCGAAGTGTGGC